TGATTTCCAAGAAAGGATTGACATCGAGGCTAATTCTTGTACAACAAAGTGAAGGGTGGTGATATTTCTTTAGTGATTTTCAAAATAAAGGAATCATTGCGCGCACACACACACGAGTTTTTTTTTAAAATACATATATAGTGTCATAGCTAATGTATGTTACTTTTATAGTGATCAAGGAAGGGAAGTATCATAGCAAATCAAAGGAATGGTGATTTAATTTTATCTATGAAAAATATGAATTATTGTATTCTAACCATTGAATTTTGTAGATATCTTCACTGAAAATTTTCACGAGACAAAACTCGTCAATTAGAGATCACCTAGGGGTTTAAAGGCTTGTTGCATATGTTAAATGCAATCGTGTCATCTACGAAAGTGACCTTATTTTATTTTGTCGTTATTTACTAGGGACTAACAATGTTTAGAATGGGAGTGTAATTAACCCTAAGTAGTGTGTAATTGTAATAGGTTAATTAGTTAATTATGTCAATTAAAAGAGTCGAACTAGTTAGAATTAGGGTTAGTGCATAAATTAGGGTTAATGTGTGAAATGTTGTTAATTTTAAGGTTTTGTGCAGAATTTGTGCAAATCTAGGAGGAAGCAACTGTCAAAACTTCAAAGTAAGGATAGTCAAAGTGTAATTCAAGTATCAAAAAACCAAGGCACCACACACCAAAACCAGTGACTTAGGGACGTCTGGACGGTGGTGGTGGCGTCCGGACAGTCACCCTAAACAACTTTAAGCTCTTTGCATCATATTGGCTGGTTTTTGCAGCAAATTATTCCATTGATCCTCCATGTTTCTGCCACCTCAAGCCAAGCCTTCCAGCCTCTATAAATAGGCCAACTCAGCTACCATTTGGAGTATTTTGTCAAAGCTTCTCTAGAGAGCCAGAAAGTGAGAGAGAATCAGAAATAGTACAGCGAAGCCCTGCCAAATCACTTCCCGCCAACTTTCCAGCCAATCTTCCAGACAATTTTTCTTTCTTCTACATTTCTGTTATACCTTTCTACTTAGAGGGTTAAACCTCTACCACTTTTGTGCACTAATCGGTATTAAGAGTGGTCGTATTTCAACTATTCCTCGAGGAAGGAGTGTTGGTGTTTTATTTTGTTTTGTAATGAAACTCTCTTACATTTCTTGCTTGTTTGTAGCAATGAGGTGTGAGTAGTCCGCTTTTACCCTTTGGTGAAGGGTGAACATATGTAAAATATTATTTTAGTTATGGAAATTTTGATGTTATAATTGTGTTTTATTGTTATAGATACCTCCCTTATTGATGGATGGTTATCTTTATAATAAGCTCATGGTTATGAACATCGAGCGATACCTAATGCTATATGACATACTATCTACTAGTTATGTACTTCATGCATGATACAGTGATGTACGTAATTGAGTATTACATAACAGTCGATTGATTGGTTATAGACGGGTTAAGTCTTGGTATAGACAATGCTTTTGATTCAATGCGTAAACCAGAATCTTGTCATCAGTGAATCATCAACCTGCCGGTTGAATAACTGTAGTATTCCTTCTGAACGGTTTGCCTTCTGGTTTACTATAGCCGTTTAACTGTTGCATGGTACAGATATGCCAATTGAATACTTCAAGTATTCCTCCTGAACGGCTTGCTTTCTGGTTTACTTGGGTTATTGTATTGTCGCATAGAGATATACCTGCCGACTAACCTAATCAGTTGCCAGATAGGATTAATATACATCATAACTACTAGTTGACTTTCTAGTAAAATGAGGATTAATTGATGTAAGGTGGCATTTCCAATAGAGGGTATCTTTTAATTATTGCATTTCCAATATCTTTTAATTATCGCACCTCGCATCTTTTAAATATTGCAGTTTTAATTTAAGTTTATTTTAGTTGTTCTAAACTCACACCACAAGCTCTTTTATTTCAATTTATAACTGTAACAGTTTCACCATTGTTCTTTTGATTTCCAATATTCAGTTTCGTGTGGGTTCGACTTCAAACTTAAACCGAGTATTATATTGTAATTTGACCACTTGTACTTGGGTGAATACCATTGTTCAATTGCAAGTGAGTCAAATACAAACCTTGTGTTTGTTATATTAGCTTGTAAATCACAATTGGAAATAGTAGTTGTGCACCGATTATACTTACCATTGCATTTGCAAAACCTTAATTTTCTTATAACATCTTTGTTGAGAATTTTTCAGCTTGTTATTTTTCTACAATTTGTTCTCAATGTGGAGAGATGCATTCAAACCATTGATTAGGAATATTGTTTTACCCTTCCTGTATTGAATTGTAGATATTAAACAAAAAGAAGCCAAGAGACAAAGACAGATATTAGATACTAAACTCCTACATTCTCATCTTGCTTCGATACAGTCAAATATTAATATATCCATAACACAATTGTTCTATCAACTTATATGCGAAATTNTGAACAAAAAGAAGCCAAGAGACAAAGACATAGATATTAGATACTAAACTCCTACATTCTCATCTTGCTTCGATACAGTCAAATATTAATATATCCATAACACAATTATTCTATCAACTTATACGCGAAATTTATAGGATAACCATTGTTTGGTGTTTAGTTTAAATGAAAAAAAATCTACTTATGGTTGTTGTATGTTTAGATAGAATTAACATTTAGATGTGATGATGGTTTTTGTTTGAAAATTTGAATTATAAGACAATATTAATCTATTAATCTAAATTAACCATCCAGCATCTATAAACATATGAGATAAAATAAGTTACAGTAAAACTAGATGATTTAGGCAATCTCCCTAATCTTAAAATATATAGTGAATAATGCACATTTTATTTGTCTTGTGGATAATAACTTACTATGAAGTCAAACACGTCATTGGGTACTATTCTCCATGTGAACAGTTTAAGGTCCTAACAATAAAGATTAGTTTTGTTGACAACAAATTATGATTAAAAAAATGTGTCTATATGTTTTGGTCATGTTCTCTCTGTTGGTTTATGGAGAAACAGTGAATTGTCTAAAATTATTTTTTTTGGGATTAATATTTAGCAATGTAAAATGTCAGATTGATAACGGAACAAAATTTGAAAATACTATCTTAATCATGACAAAAGAGACAAGAAATTTCCCTAAAAAATTTTGATGAATACCTACAATAACACACAGAAAAAATTGAGGGTTTATATGATTAAATAACACTTATATTGACAATTTTCATATNTCTGTTGGTTTATGGAGAAACAGTGAATTGTCTAAAATTATTTTTTTTGGGATTAATATTTAGCAATGTAAAATGCCAGATTGATAACGGAACAAAATTTGAAAATACTATCTTAATCATGACAAAAGAGACAAGAAATTTCCCTGAAAAACTTTTGATGAATACCTACAATAACACAAAGAAAAAATTGAGGGTTTATATGATTAAATAACACTTATATTGACAATTTTCATATTCAAAACGATTCACGTGCAACGCACGTGTACACCAACTAGTTATTAAAATATATTCATTTAAAAGTTATTTTTCCAACCCAAAAAGTTATGATCCTTGAATCTTGATCACTATCAATTAATTAATGGTTTGTTGAACTACAAGAGATTATAAAATAGAGAGCTTTGGTGTTTTTTCTTTGTTCAGATTCAAACTTCACAGAGAGAGACATAGACAGAGAGACATGAGGGAGTGGCGTTAAACAGAACTGTGGTCTGTGAGTGAGTAAATCTCGTAATTTGTGCGAGAGTGCGGAGTGATGTAAAAAGATTTGCTTAATTCCTTCATAGACGAGAGAGAGAGAGAGAGAGAGAGAATCCTTCCTTGTTATAGAAGTTTAACAGTCAACTACAGCTGGTAAGTGGAGAAATTTTCTAGGTAAATTGTTAGTGTTAATGGACTTGTTAATAAAATTTAGGCCCTCTCAAACCAGCCTATCTAAAATATATATACACATAACTAAAAATCTTAACAGGGCCCCCAAAATTTTACAAAAATTAGAGGCCTTAGGCGGCCTAGGCCTAGGGCTGGCCTTGGGCCAACCATCCAATTCCATAGTGTTAAAAGAGCCTGAAACGACTGGTTCAACAAACCCAGCCTGCTCCAATTGTGCTCTATTAGCTGCAAGCACTGATAACACATGCCATTAAAAATGACTTCACTTGGGAAAGAATTCAAAGGCCACCTGATGCCCCTGAATTAATCTGTATCGTATTATGACATTCCAAGCATAAATTGTTACTTCTGGTATTTCGCCTTATAACCGCGTTGGTCTTTTGGGTCCTGAGGGATGCGAGGAGAAGCTACTATAAATGCAGTTGATGAAAATAAATCTCAAGTCAATACCCACACCTATCCTTTCCAAGATCAATGAGAAATCAGTAAAACGATTGCGTTAATAAAATGAGCATTTTGAACAAATGAAATCGATAGAAATTTACCTTACAATGATCATCATTTACGGAGCATACATAGCAAAGAACCCTTTCAGAGAGAACATGCGCCCACATACATAGTCATACAGAGACGAAACACAGAGAGAGAGAGAGAGAGTTTGCGTGTACACTAATTTTTTTTTCCTTCTAATTTACATATACAAAGGAAAACTTTTTTTCTGTTTAGTCCAGAAATGAAACATTGGATTCCATAAAGAGCTGATGCTGCTCTATGAATTTACGTTTGATACCAACGTCTGCTGAGCGTAAGGGAGAAATCTCACCATAAGCTGTATGCTAGGAGGGATCTTCAGCCACCTTCGAACTGGTGAGTGTATGGTCCAAGTCATGAATGAGAGTTGGAGATGGGATGCTTGTGTGTAGAATCTCCCTTTCTCTCTCCCTCTCCTGCCATCTTCATTCACCTTGTTCACCCGTTACTGCACGAAACAGGTTGTCAAGGATTGTTGGATTATCTTCACAGGGTTGGGGAGCTGCATGTCAATGTCCCAGCAAATATCTTCTGTTTGCATAGCATGATGATAGAGGTGCCCTACCGGATCTAATAGTTTTGCAGGTTACAGAAGTTCATCTAATTTTCTTCGCAACAAATTCTCTTCAGTCACAGACTCCAAGACGTCATTATTAATTTTTTGGCTCACAAGTTTTAACGCCTCCACACACCTTTCTGCCTGTCTAAACTGTTCCTGTGCTTCAACCAGATCCACTCGCTTCTGTTCCAAGTCCTTTGTGGCCATTTTAATGGCAAGGCTGCTTCTTGTCTTTGCCTCCTTTAGCAAGGAGGAGCGATGACCAACCGCTTCTATTTCATGGACCTTAGTCAAGTGCTTACGCAACCAGGATACCTTAAGCTTAGCTTTCTCGGCATCGGAAACTTCACTTTCAATGGCTTCAATGTAAGACATAAGGACTGTGTTGTCATTGGTTAGGAGCCGCTGAACAACACTGCAGACAACATCAAGCAAGGAAGCCCTCACAGATGATGACTTGTATAGACAGTTGGTAGCAATATCACCATACTTTGCAAAGATGGCCCTAAGGACTGGTGCATTGCTAGGCTTCACGCTGTAGCCTTGAACATCAATCATGCCATTCAATGCCACTGCATCTTGACCAGTAGACATAGGTGTGCCCAGAGTAGATGATATCTCCATCAGACATTTTTCCCCTTCCTCATTCTGTGAACTCTGGGGGTTGGACATATTGTGTGTGTCCATCTGGGTGACAGTAGGAGGATGCTGCTCATGCCTACATAAACAGTTGATTTCATTTAGCAACAACTACATTTATTCTGAAGAAAGAGTCCATTAATTGCATGAATGCAACTCTTACGTTTTAGAAGACGCGTCAAGATTTCCAGTATCAGTTGATTTCCCCTGTAAACAATTGTTTCAAGCATCAAGACACATTGCATCAGAAACATTAGGATGTCAGCTTAGAGAACCTATAGGTAGCAGACTCACCCTATTTCGCCGGGGTTTGCTTCTGACAAGCTTCTGGCTTTCCTTGCTTGTAGACAGTATTGTTTCAGTACCACCATTGTCCAATACCTGCATGTTTCATACATAATCTTAGTACAGACAACCTTGTCTATTATTACCCAGATCATGATTTATGAAGGTTAATATAAGCATTTCAAGTGACTCATCTTTTGTATTTTGGGTTCAGCAACATGCATGTACCCTGGTTTTTCTGCAAAACTAGTGGACTTTTTTCTAAGACTCTATCTTGCACAAAATGCAACAAATTCTTATTAAATGGCGAGGTCTATAATCAGTACAGGGAAAGATGAAGCATCCAGTAGTAGTAGTTTCACTCTGCACAGGATAGGATGAAAGAATACAGAGCCACAAAAAGACACCTACAGAGATTGCTTCATCCTTTCATGGTAGATCCTTCTTTAAGGAGGCAGCAATGTTTGAATGCAAGAAGATGAAATTTCATACAGATGAACTATCATGTCATTCATATCACTAAGTTCAGTTTTGTTCAATTTATAGTCCAAGAGAAAGAACGGTAACTATTAATCTTATTTTACACTACAAAATGGAATTTCCTAGCACCACATTTGTTCTATACACACAATATTAAAGGAAATCATCGTAACGCGCTTCGAAATGCTTTTCAACTGACATATAAGTCTCAAGAAAGCTATCTCACCACATGCTTCTTTCTTGCAGGACCAGAAGAATCAACCACACCATCGGAAAACCTGCATATCAATAATTTAGATACAAGTAATCATTGGCAGGTTTATTCATTTCACTTCAGACTTAGTGTTATTGTATACTATGGGCTCGTTTGATTGCTGTATTATAAATGGATGGATTGGATAAAAGAAACCAATATAATACAATACAGATGGACAAAAAACAAAATTAAATGGGATATTAGAATAATACATAATTTTATTTAGTGTTTTACAATACACAACATGAGCATAGAATAATAGTTATTGAGTCCACACTGTTGTTTTGGTTTGGGAATTATTTCATTATATTAATGTTGAATTAACAAAAATACCATTAACCAGTATTTGTTACGTTAATGGCAGCTTGGTTCTATCAGTTGTAGAGTTATAATAGTAAATGTGTACAATAATATATTTGAATTACTTGAAATAGTTGTGAGTGAAAAAGGATGCTCAAACTAAGAGTAGAGCCCTGTATATATAGTCAAATAATAATACAAAATGACAAAAACATCCTTGTGGTCTAGGCAAAATATAAAATCATAGTAAGGGTAAAAAAGGAAAAAGAAACCCTAATAAATTAGACTATACTCCAACACTCCCCCTCAAGCTAGGCGCAAAAATATCAACTAACCCAAGCTTGACACCAGAGTCCTGAAGAATGGATAGAGTGACAGGTTTGGTGAAAACATCCGCAATCTAATCACTAGTCCCCACAAACAATGGAGTGACAATACCAAATCGAACCTTCTCCCGAAGAAAGTAAACATCGATCTCTATATGCTTTGTCCTCTCGTGTAATACAGAGTTAGAAGCGAGCTGAATAACAGATCGATTATCACAATATAATGTAAATGAAGAAGTCACTGAAAATTCCAACTCGCCAAGAATCGATCGTAACCAGATAATCCCATATGTGCCAAGTGTCAATGCCCGATACTCTGCCTCTGTTGACGAACGAGAGACAACTGCCTGCTTCTTGCTCTTCCAAGAGATATGATGAGTCCCTCAAAAAGCACAGAAGCCCGTAATAGATCGACCGTCACATGCTCTCCCATAATCTGAATCTGAATAACAGACTAGAGGACCAGTCTGTGATTCTGATGCATAGAACAACCCAAGTCCAGGACAAGACTTGAGGTACTAAAGAATATGATAAACTGCATCAAGATGAGGCTAACATGGCCTGTGCATGAACTAACTAACTCGACTGACAGCGAATGAAATGTCTGGCCTAGTGTTGGCTAGGTAGATAAGTCTACCTACTAACCTCTGATAGACAGTCGGATCTCTCAACTCCTCACCTTCAGCAGTAAGCTTCAGGTTTAGAATCATGGGTGATGATGCCGGTTTGCATCCCAGTATCCCAGTGTCTGAGAGAAGAACCAAAATATACTTTCTCTGAGATAGAACAATACCTCTACTACTATGGGCAACCTCAATCCCAAGAAAATATCGTAGAAATCCAAGATCCTTCACATCAAAAGCCTTCCCAAGGTCTACCTTGACCTGCATAGTCCTAGAAATATCATCTCCAGTAATAATAATATCATCAACATATACCAGAAGGATGACACTGTCCAGAAGTATTCCGTCGAATGAAGCAGATATGATCAGAATGATATCTAGTGAACCCTAAACATACAACTACATCACTAAAGTGAGAGAACCAGGCTCGTGGTGACTGTTTCAATCCATAGAGAGACTTACGTAGTCGACATACCTTTCCAACATACTCCCCCTCACCACGAAAGTCCGGTGGTGCANTCGTGGTGACTGTTTCAATCCATAGAGAGACTTACGCAGTCGACATACCTTTCCAACATACTCCCCCTCACCACGAAAGTCCGGTGGTGCATCCATATAAATAATTTCATCCAGATTACCATGAAAAAATGCATTCTTCACATCCAACTGATGAAGAGGCCAAGAATACTCCGCAGCCAGGGAAATAATCAATCGAACAGTAGTCAATTTTGCCACGGGGGCAAAGGTAGCACCAAAATCACGACCTAGTACCTGAGTAAAGCCCTTTGCCACAAGCCTAGCCTTGTGACGATCAATAGTACCATCCGCAAGAAACTTCAGGGTGTAAACCCAGCGATAGCCAACAGGTTTCACCCTTGAAGGTAAAGAGACAAGATCTCACGTATGATTACGCTGAAGAGCGTCCATCTCCGTCTGCATGGCAAGAACCCACTAGGGCTCCCGCATAGCCTCTGAAACAGAGCGAGGAACTGACATATCTGATAAGGCCATACTATAAGCTCGAAATATAAGAGATAGATCATCATAAGAAACATAAGTAGAAATCGGATATATAGTCCTAGAAGTCCAACCATAACGAACAACTAGACGGCGATCACGCCGCGGATAACAACGCCCTAAATCATCATCCTCCACTGACAATGTCTTATGAGGTAAAGTAACTGGCTCAGTACCTACAATCTCATTAGTACTAACAATAGATGTATTAATATACTCAACGAACTGAGAAGTATTACCTGCATCGCCTGAGGTAGAAGGGACATCAGCAGGAGGATGAGAACGAGGGCGACGAACATAAACTTGCAAAGGAAGAGAGACTGGTGATTCTGTACTGACAGGGATGAGTGGCTCTGGAGGAGAGACTGATGACTCTATAGTGATAGTAACCAATGGTTCTGGCTCCTATGGTAACGGAAAATCAAAGGGAGTATCATCAACTGGAGGGGCAGACACAGGACTGGAAGAAAAATAAGGAATATACTCAAGGAAGATAACATCTAGACTGTGATACATACGATGCCTAACAAGATCATAACACCGATACCCCTTAGACTGATGACAATAGCCCACAAAAACACAACAAATTGCTTTATCATCAAGCTTATAGCGAGTAGGAGACCGATCCTGAACAAACATGTGCAGCCAAAAACACGAGGAAGGACCGAAAAAAGTGTCCGCTCAAGGAATAAGACCTATAAGGGAGCCCTATGCTGAAGAACACGACTTGGTGTACGATTACACAAAAAGNAGGGAATAATTCCTATAAGGGAGCCCTATGCTGAAGAACACGACTTGGTGTACGATTACACAAAAAGGTAGAAGTCAAAACAGTAAAATGTCAATAAGATTTTAGTACCTCCATACCTCTAAGTATACAACGTACCATCCCTATCAAACTCTTATTTTTCCTTTTAACAACTCTATTTTGCTCAGGAAAATATGGACAAGTGAGCTGTTGAAGGATACCTTGAGAAGAAAAGTGAGACACTAAAGCATCAGACACATTCTTTGGCATTATCCGAACGAAGAGCACGAACAATAACATCAAATTGTGTTTTAATCATCTGGAAAAATTGAGTGATGACAGGGAGTACATCCGACTTCCTATGCAAAAGGTAGACATAAGTACAACGAATATGGTCATCAATAAATGTCACATAATATCGAGCACCTGATAGAGCAGTAACAGGAGAGGGTCCCCAAATATCAGAGTGTATTAAGTCAAATGGTTTGGATGACTGGTACATGCGAGGAATATAACTGGTCCGAACATGTTTTGATAGGGAACATATAACACAGTCAAGTTTACCACTAACACAAGTTTTGCTCAAATTAGGAAATAACATACATAAATATTTAAAATTTGTATGCCCAAAACGGTCATGCCACAACTGAACAGTTTGTGATGAAAAATCATAACGATAAGTAGTAGGTAAAATACTAGCATGCAAGCTAGGAACAGATAAAAACAAAGCAGGTGATGAAAGTGGAGGTGGAGAAACTAGTGAAACCGGAGGTGGATCACCTAGATAATATAGTCTATCTTTCTCATGTCCCCTGATAATAATCCTCCTAGTACTCAAGTCCTGCAAATAACACAAATCAGATAAGAACACAACCGCACAGTGAAAATCTCTGACTAACTGATGTACAGATAATAGATTTATGGTCAACTTTGGTGCATGAAACACCGAACGTAATGTAAAGCCATTTGGGAGGCGGACTGTACCCTTACTAACAATAGGAGCATGTGTACCATCTGCTAATTGAACTTGAGTCTATAACTGCTCGTCAAAAGAGGTGAAATGATGGGTCTCACCTGTCATATGATTATTCGCACCCGAATCCAGTATGCAAAGAGGAGACGAACTGACGCAAGTATGAAAGACACGAGGTATACCTGTAGTAGTCGCAGCAGTAGTAGTCGAACCTTGAGAAGTCAGGGCTGACGTAAGTATATCCAAGCGAGAAGTGATAACATCCATATCACTCTGCCAAGGAAGAGCAATGATTGTAGGTGGTAGTGCCTCAGCAATGACAGCAATACGGCTACGAGGAGGCAGCTTAAGCTCTAGATGGACCTTCCAACAAGCAACCTTGAGATGTCCTAGTCGACCACAATAATCACACTGACAAGAATTCTCATGTCTACGCTGATGTGGGGTACCCTGACAGTGCTGGGTCGAGCGCTATCGACCCCTATACGCTGTAGAAGTGCTAACAGATGTCTCAACGGTAGGGGTCTCAACTCCCTCAGTAGTAGGCATATCAACAACAATACTAAGGCACCCGTGACAGAAAAACAACTCTAAGATAAATAGAGGAATAAAATAAAGGAGAACAATAGCGATAGATAAAGAAGGTCCAAAAAACTCCCAAATAATCAGGTCACGGTGCCCAAAAATCCAATAAATATAAATAACTGATCTACTGCATCAAGAGCAGAGCAACGTAAAAGAGGATTCAACCCCTCTTAAAACGGTCCTAGATATTGCAATCTGACAGCATTGTGACGAAGAGTGCGAACGACAAAGTTACAACGAAAAAAAATGCGACCCGACAATAGGCTGATGAGTGACCCAGCAGTAGGCTAGGTCGCTGGTTGCAATTTTTGGGTTCGCTGGGCTGTGGGCTGGGGTACGGTTGGACAGTAGGCTGGTTTGATATATATTTAATGGGCTGGGTCTATCGCTGGTAAAGTGAGCTGGTTTGATATATGTTTAATGGGCTGGGTCTGTTGCTGGTATATTTTTAATGAGCTGGTTTAGTTGATGGGTAGTGGCTGGTTTTGGTTGCTGATGATATTGGATTGACTATGCTGCTGACGATGGACTGTGGCTATTCGCTGGACTGTGGCTATGCTGTTTTGGTGTTGGCAGTTTGTCGGTGATGGGCAGTGGTCTGTGTGGTGTTGGCAGTTTGTCGGTGTAGGCTGTTGGTTTGATTGTTTGGTTTGATGGTGTAAAGTATTGGGTTGGTTTGAGTATGTCAATCGGTGAAGGATGGCTGTCAGTGGAGGATGGGTGTATTGTTCGCTGGTTTGGTGGAGTGCTTGGTGATTTCGACTTGGTNTATGCTGTTTTGGTGTTGGCAGTTTGTCGGTGTAGGCTGTTGGTTTGATTGTTTGGTTTGATGGTGTAAAGTATTGGGTTGGTTTGAGTATGTCAATCGGTGAAGGATGGCTGTCAGTGGAGGATGGGTGTATTGTTCGCTGGTTTGGTGGAGTGCTTGGTGATTTCGACTTGGTTGTATGCAGGTGGGTATTGTTCGATTGGGTGGTATAGATACTGTTCAGTTGGTCTGGGCAGTTGGTCAAGGTAGTCGGTGAGTTTGTTGGTTTGGTTAGGTGCTGGCCTGGGTGATTTTTGTCGGTGGGTTGCTGGCCTGAGCAGTCGGTATGGTGAGTATGGTAGCCGCTAAGTATGGTGGAGGTTAGGGTTAGGGTTAGGGTTTGAGTTTGGCTCTGATACCAACTNCCTGAGCAGTCGGTATGGTGAGTATGGTAGCCGCTAAGTATGGTGGAGGTTAGGGTTAGGGTTAGGGTTTGAGTTTGACTCTGATACCAACTTGAAATAGTTGTGAGTGAAAAGGGATGCTCAAATTAAGAGTAGAGCCCCGTATATATAGTCAAATAATAATACAAAGTGACCAAAACATCCTTGTGGTTTAGGCAAAATATAAAATCATAGTAAGGGTGAAAAAGGGAAAAGAAACTCTAATAAATTAGACTATACTCTAATAGAATTGGATTATAATAACACATCTCTTTGTGGTATTAGAATACCCCCATAATACAGGTCCATTGTACAAAAAACATACGACAAGTATATGATTAGTATACGTTTTTGAAATAAATACGGAATCAAATTTGTATACCAAACAAAACATTAGGCTCAATTAAATAAATAACAATACAATCCAATATTTAATCTACTCATAATATGTCTATCAAACGAACCATCTAAAGCCTAAAATACTGTGAAATAAGATAAGAACAGTGTACATGACAACAAAATAACTTGCAAATCTGCATCAATTCCATTGGCCTTGCGTTTTTACAACATACAATTTAATGACCTTGGCTTCTTTGTCTCATTTAATGAGTTGCCATGCTAACCCTACCATAGATGGAAAATATGATAGATTTGGCCCCGCTGCTACTGTTCCACAATGATCAACCTTACTCACTCAGCAGATATGACTATGCACAAAATCTAATGCAGACAGTAAACCACTTGTTAACTGTTTGTGATTGTATGCAGTTTTGAAACATTGGAAGTACAATGCAAATAACAATGTTTCACCAATATTCCATGTTGGAGATTTACTTTTTTATTATGTTGCTTTCGTATTGTTGGAGATTTCTTTTTCTATTTTACTTTCCAATTTTGTTACTTTCTTATTATGATCTACTTTCCTAATATACTAATTGTTCTCAATATCAATATAATATAAATAGGTGCTAGGGTGTTGGTAATAAACATCCTACACTCGTTATTTTCTCAATCTCTTTTTCCCTTTTCTTTCTTCTTTCTCCTAAACCTAAACCCTAATACTTGATTATTTGAGCCTCAACTGTCCCCAATATTTCATTCCAAAGTGATATAGAACTTTTACAAAAGTTCACAAGGGCTATTTGAGGGAGGGAACTAATTTAGGATGGCCATTTGCTATCAACCTAAGAAATTTGGTTTCAAGTGATCGTAAATTTCAAGATAAATTCAGAGGTGGAGCCCAATATGAGGTTAGAGAGTGCTTACACATCAGCTGACACATTAGGACCTGGAACAGTGTCCTGCCCCTGTCAGTAAATATAACCAATCGTCCAAATTAAGAAAAAACTGGACAAAAAATTAGAAGATAAAAAGGACAAACAAACAAGTAAACAAGAAAAAAGACATCATCAGGCAAAGAACTGACCTGGCCTGGCAATATGACATCTCCCATCAGTTCCCATCGTTCGTTCTTGAGATCTAATAGCTCTTCATCACCGTCAACATAGACTACCTAAAAAAAAATTAATAGAGCAACAATGGCAAGAAAGATGCTAGTCAAGGCTTTAAAGAAACACATCATATTCTACCATTCAAATGAAGCATGACTTAAGAGAAGCCAAGTTGTAAGAAGATTACTTAAGCAGAAACTGTCAGTTGGGACAGCTATATACCTTTCTTGAGTAATGAGAAATAACATCCAAGAAGAAGAGTATAGGACTAGTTTAGGATAATCTCACCTGGTGCTTCATTTTTGAGTGGTTAAAAGAAGTAATAACTCCTTCATAAAACCTGCAGAATATATGCTTGACTATGAGAACCTTCATGTCCCCCTCCCCCTCCCTCAAAAAAGCCAAAGAATCAAAACCCCCGTAAAAAATATAAAGTCATGCTAATATATAAAAAGCATTCACAATATATATAAAGATTAGTCATCTTGATTTCCCAGATTTGGCCATACAATCAGGTAATTCAAATTCAGGATACCGTTTTCAGGAATAAAATTTTCAAGCCAGAGGTCTCTATTGTAGAACAAAATCTACAATACGTTAGTTACCATGCAGGGCACTTGCTAAGTCACAATATTCAACAAAATACCCTTCATTTATTGGGTTTTAGTCTCACATAGATAATGTTATGGTATTCAATAATCCAATCTGCTATTTCACAATCTGTAAATGTTGTTAAGCATATCTCCAGTGCACATGGTTCAAGGTCGCAGTATCGGGCGATACGACCAAAAAGAAAATGTTGAATATGACGAGAAATTTAGGTCATATCGCGGCATTGCGGAACCATATTGGCTGATTCAGTGATGATAACTCGATAACTAGGAATTAACTCTGATACAACTCCGCCGAATCTTGCAAGACTCGGGGATTATACATGTCCATAACGGAATCATCTCGAAAGGTGTCGAGTTGGATATGACTCGACCGACTCGTATCAGTAACGGTCAATACTTTGAACCATGCCTATGCAACATGCCCACAGTAATGATATGCACACAATAACTTCTAATAATATATTTCCAGCAAATCAAGTAAACAAAGGTGGATAGCCAAGTAGATAGTGACATAGATTTTTCAATCCATATCAGGAAAAGAAAACACAAAGAGCCATGAAAGGAAATATTAAAAGAAATTGGTAGCATAATTCAATATCCCTATAGTACTCACGTCAAGTCCTTTGGCCACCAAACCTTTATGCTGAAGCCTACCAAGTTCTCACAATAATCTTTGAAAGCACGAGTCACTTTGGAAGCCTGAGTGGGGAAAATATGAACACAATTAAACATGAGATTGGCCAAAATTATTCCAATCCATTAGATTTCAACTCGGGTGGGAGATGAGAAATTATACACCATTATCTATTAAAAACTCTCATGAAATTCTCTGAGAAAATATAGTTAAGATATTGAGAAATGGGTCATCAATCCAAAATTTCCAAAGTTGTAAGGCCATGTTATGTGCAGCTTCATTTCATGCTATTAGAACTTAGGAGCATCAGTCTAAGAATGTTCAACTAAGAATCTCTGGCCAGCTCATTATCATATACAAAGAGCAGCAGAGAAGATGAGAAATAAAATACTATATAGTAAGATCTCAAATAAATTTGACATTACATGTCATGATTTATCGTGGACATAATCTTTAATGGATCAGTATTCAAACAGTTGATTTCAAGATATTGGCAAGTTATATAGCAACTAAGTGCCCAATATGTAGGCCATCAATAGCTATTTGTTATTTTAGATGCCAAAAGAATCCACTTGAAAAAAAAAAACAGATATCAAAAGACCTATAATGCATTATAAATCATCACTGTCCACTATATTGTTGGAGAATAAAGATTATATCAATATGTCTACTGTTAAGAATAATAGGGTAGTATATGTAAATAGTTAATAGTAAGAGTGGTGCATGTGTAATTTTTATTATTGTAGATTAAGTATAAATACAAGTGATGTCTGAGAGCTATGTTAAGTTTTTTAACCTCTCTCTATTTCTCTCTAAAATTGTGTTAATCTTCTGAACTTAACATGGTATCAGAGTCATTAAGATTATAAACATATATGTATGTTCTGAATNGTGCATGTGTAATTTTTATTATTGTAGATTAAGTATAAATACAAGTGATGTATGAGAGCTATGTTAAGTTTTTTAACCTCTCTCTATTTCTCTCTAAAATTGTGTTAATCTTCTAAACTTAACATGGTATCAGAGTCATTAAGATTATAAACATATATGTATGTTCTGAATAAATTTTGGGGTAGTACTTTTTGTTGAACCCATCGCCGTTTGCTGAACCTACAATGGTGGTCGACGTTGGTACAGTCGACGGTGGTGGTGCCTTGCTTCGCGGTGGTGTTGTGCCTTGCTTCGTGGTGGTGCTGTGTCTTGTGGTTCGTGGTGGTGCTGTAAGTGGTGTGTGAGTTGTGGTTGCGTAGTCGGTGACGACCTTGGTGCAGAATTAGGGTTTTCCGTTGAAACCCTAACTCAGTGAAGAAGAAGAAGACCCAGACGGGTTTCGGGTTTTTTTTGTGGGTCACGGGTTTTGGGTGCAGTACCTCTCCTTAAGCCCAGATCAGAAGGAGATCCAGATCCAAACCCGAATCTAGACCCAGACCCAGACCCGAATCCAAATCCTGACCCGGATCCTAGACCCAGGAGACTTTGTTCGGATCAAGTCTGGTTCAGACCAGACCGGTTTGATCCAGACTCAGCCGGTTCAGGTGATTTCACTCCGGTTCAGACCGGTTCTTTAGTTTTTAGCTCCGGTCTAGTGGTCCAGCTCAGTTGTTGCTCCGATTCATTGGTTCAGTGTGGTTCTACAGTCCGGTTCAGTGGTCCAGAAGCCTTCTGCAGTCCAGTTCACCTCCTTTTTACACCGGTTCAGTCCGGTTCACCTATTTTCTACACCAGTTTAGCCCGGTTCAATACGTTTCTGCTTCAGTTCAGCCCGGTTCTTCAGTCCAGCAGTCCCGTTTTGCCTAGTTCTTCAGTCCAACAGTCCCTGTTGCCTCTGGTTTAGCACTCAAGCAGTCCGATTCATTTCTTGTTTGCTATTTGTTGCAATATTATGAAACCCAAGCAAGATACCAGGTCCCTTACTCCATCTTTGTCTTCTCCGACTCTTATTAATGGTCCCATGTCCTCTGTCAAACTCAATAGGACCAATTACAATTTATGGTCTCGATCTGTTCAAGTCTTTCTTCGAAGCAAAGGACTTAAGAAATATTTGGTGAATCCTAAACCTAAGGAAGACACCNGATCTCATGACCTCTGTCAAACTCAATAGGACCAATTACACTTTATGGTCTCGATCTGTTCAAGTCTTTCTTCGAAGCAAAGGACTTAAGAAATATTNCCCATGTCCTCTGTCAAACTCAATAGGACCAATTACAATTTATGGTCTCGATCTGTTCAAGTCTTTCTTCGAAGCAAAGGACTTAAGAAATATTTGGTGAATCCTAAACCTAAGGAAGACACCCCTGGGCATGATCAGTGGGAACAAGAGGATACTCAAATTATTTCTTTACTATTGAATAACATTGAGCCTAGTATTAGTTCTACTTTGCTATACCTTGAAACTGCCAAGGAGATATGGGATCACTTGGCTACTAAGTATTCTGGTACGGGTAATTTTACCTGAACTTATGAGGTGTGCAAGGAGTATTTCCGGCTGGAACAGAGTAATCTGAGCATTAAGGATTATTACTCTCACATTCGAGGAGTCTGTGAGGAGATGAAGACCTACCATCCATTTACTACTGATGCAGCAGTTTGACAGAAGCAACATGAGGACATGAATGTTATTAGATTTTTGGTAGGTTTGAAACCTGAATATGAGGGTATTCGTTCTCAGATTTTGGGTGATTCTACTCTTCCCTCACTACTTGAGGTTTTCTCTCGTATACAGCGTGCTACTTTGTCTCCTTCAGGTATCAATCATGGTGTTTCCACTGATCGCTCAGCTCTTGTGGTTCCTAGTAGCCATAGTAATGGTCATCGAGGTGGTCGTGGTGATCGAGGAGGTCATACGGGTAGTCGTGGAGGTCGTAGTGGACCACGTTCCTATACTCACTGTGGTTGTGGAGGGCACACTGTGGATTTCTGTTGGGATTTACATAGAAAACCTTTTAGTACTGCCAATCAGGTTTCTTTTCAAGATGACACCTCTGTTGCGACTTTCATACCTCGGTCAGCTCCACCAGATACTGGGTCGGTTACGATTACACGAGAAGAGTATGCTCAGTTCTTATCCCAGCAACAGGTTGTTCTATCTTCCTCTACTGCTACTTTTGCCCAATTCGGTACTACTTTCACTTGTTTATTGTCCTCCACTCGCAGTCTGTGGATCATAGACTCTGGCGCCTCTGATCACATAACTGGTGCGTCTGATGCTTTTTCTACTTATCAATCTACTACTTTCACACGTAGTGTTACTCTTGCTAATGGTACTTGTTCTGAAGTTTCAGGTCTGGGGACTACTCACTTGAGTCCTGATATATCCCTATCTTCCATATTATTTGTTCCTTAGTTTCTTTTTAATTTACTTTCCATTAGCAAGATTACCCGTTCTCTCAATTGTTTTGTAACATTTTATCCTTCTTATTGTGTCTTTCAGGATCTCAAGAAGAAGAGAAAAATTAGTACGGGGCATGAAGCTGGTGGCCTATATTACCTTGACTTTGATTCACCNTCAAGAAGAAGAGGAAAATTAGTACGGGGCATGAAGCTGGTGGCCTATATTACCTTGACTTTGATTCACCTACCCAGGCTCTACAGACCTTGTTGTCTCCTTTTCAATGGCATTGTCGTCTTGGGCATCCCTCTCTCCAGAATTTGAAGCGCCAAGTTCTCAGTTTTAGTTATGTATCGTCTTTGTCCTGTGAAGCTTGTCACCGTGTGTCATTTTAGTCTATAGTCAATAATCGTGTGTCTAGTCTATTTGAATTAGTTCTGATATATGGGGTCCAATAAAGAATATTTCATCTAATAAATATCCTTATTTTGTGACATTTGTGGATGACTATTCTCGTGTGACTTGGTTGTTTTTTATGAAAGCTCGGTCTGAATTATTATCTATATTTGAGACTTTTCGAAAGGAAATAAAAATTCACTTTGGTTGTCGTATACGTATTTTACGTTCTGATAATGCTCAGGAATATGAATCTGATCCTTTTTCAGCTTATCTTAGTAACACTGGTATTATTCATCAGACTTCTTGTGCTTACACTTCTCCACAAAATGGTGTTGTTGAACGCAAAACCGTCATTTGTTGGAAGTCACCCGTGCCTTGTTATTCCAGATGAATATTCTCCGATATTTTTGGAGTGATGCTGTTCTTACTACTTGTCATTTTATTAATCGTATGTCATCCTCTATATTAAATGAGCAGAGTCCATATTCTGTCCTTTTTTCTGGAAAGTCCTTTTCTCCCTGACTCCTAAGGTTTTTGGTTATGTCTGTTATGTTCACAATTTGGGTCCTGGGTTTGACAAATTTGACCCTCGAGCTACCAAATGTGTCTCTCTTGGTTACTCCCGCACGCAAAAGGGATATCGTTGCTACAGTCCTTCCCTGCACCGATACTTTACTAGTACTGATATCACGTTTGAAGAATCTGTTCCATACTTTTCAGCACCTTCTTAGCCTTTGGATCTGGATTTTGGATCATCTCCTATACCACTATCTCTTTCCTCGTCTTCAGACATTCCGTTGTCCACTGTGTTACCATCTACTTTACCTCTTCGTGTTTACTCTCGCCATCCTCGCCCATCGACTAAGGTGCCCGTACCATCTTTCTTGCCGCCTTTTGATCCTGGTACATCAGGTAATTTCGACTTTTTACCTATTGCTCTTTGCAAAGGTACTCGTTCGTGTGTTACTAATCATACCATTTCTCATTTTGTTTCATATGATGCCTTATCTCCCATCTTCTCCTGTTTTACTTCCCAATTATCTGCTATATTTATTCCTAAGCATCTACAGGATGCATTATCTGATTCAGGTTGGAGGAAAGCTATGGAGAAGGAGATGGATGCTTTACATCATAATGGGACTTGGGATCTCGTTCTTTTACCCCCTAGTAAACGGACTGTTGGCTGTTGTTGGATGTATACTGTTAAATTTTATCCAGATGATTCTGTGGAGCGTCTCAAAGCCCGACTTGTTGTGAAGGGCTTTACTCAGACTTATGGTGTTGATTATGAGGAGATCCTTTCTCCTGTTGCCAAAATTTTCTCTGTTCGTATCTTGATCTCTTTAGCCGCTAATCTTGATTTGGCCTTGTTTCAGTTAGACATCAAGAATGTCTTCCTACATGGTGACTTGATTGAAGAGGTATACATGAAACAGCCATCTGGGTTTACTGCTTAGGGGAAGTATGGTAAGAGTGTATGTCGATTAAAAAAATCTTTGTATGGTTTAAAACAGTCACCGAGGGCATGGTTTGGTAAGTTTTTAGATACAGTTTTAGGGTTTGGTCTTCTTCGATGTCAGGCAGATCACTGTATTTCATAGACAAACAGATGCTGGATATGTCCTATTGGTGGTCTATATAGATGATATTGTGTTACTGAAAATGATTCTGAGGGGATTGCCAAGTTAAAAATATTCTTACAGGATCGATTTTATACTAAAGATTTGGAAAAACTCAAATATTTCTTGGGTATTGAGGTGGGTCGATCTAAATAGGGTATTTTTTTATCCTAGAGAAAATATGTACTTGACATGTTTGAGGAAGCAGGTTTGCTAGGTGGTAGACCGATTGATGTTCCTATGGATCCAAATCGAAAATTATTGATGAATGATGGTGCATTGTTTGAGAATCCGGGTCGGTATCGCAGATTGGTTGGGAAGCTTAATTATCTCANTCCAGGTTGGAGGAAAGCTATGGAGAAGGAGATGGATGCTTTACATCATAATGGGACTTGGGATCTCGTTCTTTTACCCCCTAGTAAACGGACTGTTGGCTGTTGTTGGATGTATACTGTTAAATTTTATCCAGATGATTCTGTGGAGCGTCTCAAAGCCCGACTTGTTGTGAAGGGCTTTACTCAGACTTATGGTGTTGATTATGAGTAGATCCTTTCTCCTGTTGCCAAAATTTTCTCTGTTCGTATCTTGATCTCTTTAGCCGCTAATCTTGATTTGGCCTTGTTTCAGTTAGACATCAAGAATGTCTTNTTCAGGTTGGAGGAAAGCTATGGAGAAGGAGATGGATGCTTTACATCATAATGGGACTTAGGATCTCGTTCTTTTACCCCCTAGTAAACGGACTGTTGGCTGTTGTTGGATGTATACTGTTAAATTTTATCCAGATGATTATGTGGAGCGTCTCAAAGCCCGACTTGTTGTGAAGGGCTTTACTCAGACTTATGGTGTTGATTATGAGGAGATCCTTTCTCCTGTTGCCAAAATTTTCTCTGTTCGTATCTTGATCTCTTTAGCCGCTAATCTTGATTTGGCCTTGTTTCAGTTAGACATCAAGAATGTCTTCCTACATGGTGACTTGATTGAAGAGGTATACATGAAACAGCCATCTGGGTTTACTGCTTAGGGGAAGTATGGTAAGAGTGTATGTCGATTAAAAAAATCTTTGTATGGTTTAAAACAGTCACCGAGGGCATGGTTTGGTAAGTTTTTAGATGCAGTTTTAGGGTTTGGTCTTCTTCGATGTCAGGCAGATCACTGTATTTCATAGACAAACAGATGCTGGATATGTCCTATTGGTGGTCTATATAGATGATATTGTGATTACTGAAAATGATTCTGAGGGGATTGCCAAGTTAAAAATATTCTTACAGGATCGATTTTATACTAAAGATTTGGGAAAACTCAAATATTTCTTGGGTATTGAGGTGGGTCGATCTAAATAGGGTATTTTTTTATCCTAGAGAAAATATGTACTTGACATGTTTGAGGAAGCAGGTTTGCTAGGTGGTAGACCGATTGATGTTCCTATGGATCCAAATCGAAAATTATTGATGAATGATGGTGCATTGTTTGAGAATCCGGGTCGGTATCGCAGATTGGTTGGGAAGCTTAATTATCTCACTATTACTCGACCGGATATTTCCTATGTAGTCAGTATAGTAAGTCAGTTCATGGGATGTCCTAGAGTACCACATTGGGAGGCAGTTACTCGTATTCTACGATATCTCAAACGATCTCTTGAACTTGGACTATTATATCGAGCTAATGGACATCTTAGGGTAGAAGGTTTCTCAGATAGAGATTGGGCTGGCTCTCCTTCTGATCGGAGATCAACCACTGGTTATTGTACTTTCTTAGGAGGTAACGTTGTCTCATAGAAAAGTAAGAAACAACCCGTGGTAGCAAGATCCAGTGCTGAGGCTAAGTATAGGGCAATGGCATATACGACGAGTGAGTTGACTTGGCTACTACACTTCCTCCAGGAAATTAGATTTCCAGTTCAACTTCCTTTACAGTTGTTCTGTGATAACCAGGCAGCTATCCATATTGCAGCTAATCCTGTGTTTCACAAGAGAACCAAACATATTAAGGTTAATTGTCACTTTATTCGAGACAAGATAGTAGTTGGGGAGATTATAACTCTATTTGTGAAATCTGAAGATCAGCTTATAGATATATTTACCAAAGCATTGAGTCGTACGCGTCTTACAGCTAGTTGTTCCAAGCTTGGATTATATGATATATATAGTCCAGCTTGAGGGAGAGTGTAAAGAATAATAGGGTAGTATATGTAAATAGTTAATAGTAAGAGTGGTGTATGTGTAATTCTTATTATTGTAGATTAACTACAAATACAAGTGATGTATGAGAGGTAAGTTAAGTTTTTTAACCTCTCTCTATTTCTCTCTAAAACTGTGTTAATCTTCTAAACTTAACATCTACCAAGATGTCCACCTACACATCAATGGCATCATCAATTTACTGAACTAAGCACAGAGTATACTAATTTACTGAACTAAGCACAGAGTATACTCTGGTTCCTCTGAGATCTACAATTGCTGCTCTTCCTTGTTATTCAATTACCAAAATAATTAAGCACTCGATCCCACATCAGCATACATTACATATTTTGACTTTTTTTTGGACATACAATATCAACCTATCTAGTAAGTTTAATTTTTGCGTAACTTCTCCGTGCTTTTTTTTGCTTTAAATTGCTTCATCTACAGTACAGTACTTGAGTGTTTTCTGTAATTATATCATATTAACACATCCAAAACACCAACATTTCAATCGTTACTTTTGGGTTTGCTCACCGTGCCCATGAAATATGAGTGGCACAACTTCTTCTATGCTTAAAGTAACACCAAGGCTCCTGCTTTCTCTATGGAACCATGAAACTGAAGGTGAAGAAGGAAGCTTGGAATAAATATTTGGTCCGAAAAATCAAAGAGCAAATTATAATCAGGACATTGAAAATCAACCCAGACTGCATTTGGGCATATAAACAAAAGTAATTTCAAGAGTATACGGCATCATCGTAATGATCACAGATTTATGTGGATAACTGGATGTTGCAAATCTAAGGAACCATTACCAGCTACGCTGAATAATGACAAAGGCATACCTCTTTCTTCAAAGGAGTACAATTCCTCTTGCGCTTTGCCTTAGAAGCTCCCTCAAAGTGACTTTCATCCCTATTTAGTGAGTTGGTTTTAGACATAGAAACCATGTTCTACAAAACCCAAAAAATGAAAGAATCAAGAGCTTAGAGGCATAACGAAAACTAAGATCAGTACGAATTTTCTGAGAATGAGTGCAAGTTCATTTTAGTCAATACCTTGTCACCAAATTCTTCAGTAACATGTTTAGTAGAGATAGCTTTGCCCCTTCTCCGCTCTTTAGCATCCAATTGGCAGATTGATGACTCTTGTCTTCCTTCTGTATCACTATGGAACCCATCACCCTTAGTGCTAAGAACAGTTTTCCATCGGCCTCTCCCTCGTTTTGCTTTTGAATCTCCTGTGCCTTCAGAATCCTGTCTCAAAGTGACAGCTTTACACTGTGAAGCTTTCTTCTCAACCTGAGCTCTCAGCATATCTCCCTCTGAAACAGACAACAAATCTAGAAGTCTCTCCTTATTGCTAGTATTCTTTTTCTTCTTCAAGAAACCCCTTCCAGAAGAGCGAGAAATCATGGTCACTCTATGTGATTTGTTCGGGGAAACAATGTGAGGCTGAGTTCCATTTTCAGATCCTGATGGCAAAGCTGGCTCCTTAGAGAATCCACTCTTACATAGAGTACCAATTTTCTTTGTGCGATACTTCCTTCGACGAGGTATCCGAAGAGATTTCCATCCTTCACTAATCCAATAATGCTCATATCCCTCCTCTGGTTTTGTCAAAGAATTAGGTCTCCAATCCCTTTTCTTTGGAACTGCTTCTGGATCTAGTTTACATTGCACGGCTATGGCATCCACATTTCCAGGACCAGAATTCATTCTTGCATTGTGCTGATTAATCTGATGGCAACGTTCTAATGTCTTCAAAGACTCATCACCCTCCAAAGGATCATCATTCTTTTTTTCAGAAGCCCCATCGTATGACTTGGATGGGCCAGCCCCATGTGGACCAACTTCTCCAATACAATTGTCATGCGGCGTAGGCTCTTTGGCCTCCTGAAAAAGACAAATGGTTTTCATTGATTAGTCATAGATATGATATATCGAAAGACACAATTGGAGAAGAGTAAATTTGCTGCATTAATATTTACTACAGCATAGCATTAGAAAATAAAACCACACAGGTTCAGATTCCTGAGATGGCTCATCTGAATTTTTCACTTTTGAAAACGTGTATTCATCTTCCTGAAGCATGTCTACTGATCGAATCTGGATTTCAAAACTCAAGCAAATGACTAGTTTTTGGCAAATTTTCTGAGGGTACATTGGGTTCAGAGGTCTTTGTCAAATTATGTTGACATTGAGGTGCTACTTGAAGAACTGATTTCAATAATCTAAAACCTATCCAGTTTTATCGACAATGCACTTAATTACCCACAAAATAATAAGACTGCTGAGGAAATAACCTTGTAGGCTTCTAAATATAGAGAAAGAAAAGGTAGGCAGTCTCTACTTTCGCCATCTTTCTCTGGTAACTAAGTGAATAAACAAATATTTGAATGAGAGCAATGGATACAGGGTTAGACGATAACCAAATAAAAAGACAATGAAAATGCCCCAAAAAGATAAGGTATAGTGGTTTAGCCTCGGCACACACAGACAATGCATTCTTCTTAAGCAAAAGCATTAAATAATCAGAAGTACAAAACAATTGGCTTTTCATAAAGGACTGAAAATATAGAAGAAACACACCAGATTTTCCCTTCCAGATGAATCCTGGCATATTGAAGCAACTATATCAGCATAATCATCAAAAGCAATGCCCATGGATTTCACTGCTTCTGGGAGATAAGATTTTAGTTTAGCGGCACAGTTTTTCAACACTTTCTCCCCTAGCTTCCAAGAAAGAGGCAAAACATTCTGAAACAAAGAATAAGTATGATTGCTAAAGTATAGGAAAAGTATAACAGAACTAGCGATTAAAGGTCCAGGAAAAGGAATCACCTCTTTTTCCTTCTTTACACTAGTTAGAAGTTGACTTAGCAGCTCGATTGAGAGATCTTCACTTTCTTCTATGACCAAGGTCATTATTTTCACCATGTCTAAGAATACAGCACTAGGGTGGTTGGACCTTTAAGTTGAGCAAGAATAAAACATCAGTTGTTGATCATTCATAGAAGAAATGAATCATGCTGCGTGACACGTACACGTTGATATCTACACAAGCACAATATACCAACAAATTACTGTATACACCAAGTTACGAGCAGCGTCCTTTCCATCACATAATATCACATGATTTTTTTTTTTCATTCTAGTTAGAGCCCCAACATAGTAATCATTGTGTGAAAAACAGATGTTAGGGCTATGTTATACCCCTCTCCACAACTCAAGAATATTCTTTTCATGCCCATGCCTCAGAAAGTTTCACAAAACACAAGAAGCTTATGGCAGTACATAAAAGTTGAAAACAAAAGTATAAAATGAAGCAAAGTTTGATTCTTGAGTTCTGATCAAGTGTCAATAACTGTAGAAGTGGAATTAAATAGCAGAAGTTTACCAAATTCACAATAGTAGAGTCAGGTCAAGTACTATGCATGTGTTCAGCAAAGAAATTTATACTTTTTCCCTAGTCGATAGATATATCACTCCATTTTGCAGCTACTTTTCGTCTTCTTAATATCGTTTGTCAACCTATGAAGGAAGAGTTGGTAACATTCCAAACACCATCTAAACCAATAGTAGCATGAACGAAAAGTAGGAGTGGCCCATTAGTAATAGGAGGCGAAATGCTGCACTGGAAACAGAATCACTAGCGATCCACATTATATCTTGTGACGACTCAATCAAGCTCTTGGCTAAAAAAGATTCGAAGATGATCGAACAATGGGAACAAATCTACAGGGTTATCACCTTAAATGATCGTTGTTCGGGAACAAGAAACAAAATTTTCATCGATAAGAACCAAAAAAGTGCAAGCAAGGATGAACAAGTAATCCAACCCTCATACATACATAAAAAGAGCATAAACAAAAACAAAACAGCCATCAAGAGATAAATTATCTCCCACACAATGCCATCCAACTTGAGGTAACACCAAAAAGCGGGATACTTTCAAACTCCTTTGTAATGGAGGCCCAAAAAAATGCAATGAAATAAATTTGATCCCACATACCTTCGTACACATCTTTATCTTGAAAAATTCTAGCATTTCTTTCCATCCAAATGACCCTTACTATTGCAAAGAAAGCACAATTCCAAAGAATAACACCCATTTCACCACCACCCAAACCTTTATATTCAATCAAAAACATAGGTGAGATTGAATGCGGGGCAGCCCACCGAACTCCCACCATCTTGAATAATTTATTACAAAGGAATAATACAGTAACACAGTGTAAATATAAATGGTCCACAATATCACAACTTCCTCTACACATAACACACCATTGTGGGCACAAATTAGTGTAAGACCTCCTCCTTTGTAACATATCAAAGATAATAACCTTACCATGAGCAATCACCCATGCACACACTTGCACTTTTGGAGGCTTTAACCTTCCAAATTTTCAATGCAGGGTAAAAAGAGGAATGGAAGAATCATCAATCAAAGAATCGAAAAATGATTTACATGAGAAGAAACCCGAAGGATCAATGATTCAACATCTTTTGTCCAAAGAAGCTTGATTTAAAGTAATAGGATTAAGCAAAGAAAGAAGAAAAACTAATCCCGAATACTCACTGTCATTTAAATTCCTACGAAAACGAAAGTCTCAAGCAATTGGATTAGAATCCGACCTAGCAAACGGAAAAACACTATGATCATGATTAGAAGAAAGTCTATATAAACAAGGAAATGAACTTGAGAATGATTACTCCCTCACTCAAATATCTTTCCAAAAATGAACTCTCAACTCATTGTGAGCATTGAACTTAACCCTTTGAAAAAAACACGGTAACCCCTAAAAAATGAATTTCCAAAGATTTCAGTAGCTTCCCCGATCAACCCCATTAGCATCTCACCTATTAGCCTTGCAAGTCGTACTTACTTTTAATAACCAAATGCCATAGCGAATTTTGCTCCAAAGAAAATCTCCATAGCCATTTACCAACCAAAGTCTCATTTCTAACTACCAAGTTTCATACCAAAAGTACCCCATTTGATTTTGGCCTAGACACCACCCCCAACAAATGAGGTGATCCTTTTTCCCCTCCCTCTTTCCTTCCCATAAAAAATCTCTCATCATTCTCTCAATCATTTTTGCCACACCACATGACATCTTGAAAAAAGACAAAATATATAGGAATACTTACTAATACAAACTGAACCAATGTAACTACCTCCTCTACAAATGTAAGCCTTCCTTTACCCATCTAACATTTTTCGTACTTTTTGAATGACCAAATAAGATTACAGGCTTTAGTACGATTGACTCACCAGGGGGTCCTTTTTCGGGCATTAAGACCGAAGCTTTTTGTGGTGTTAGCAGGAATCTATCACTCACAAGCAAATACCCCACCCCCCCTCCAAAAAAAAAAAAAAATGCTCCCACGGACCGATGCACCGTTCAAACCAATCTAGGTTCAATTTGGCTTCCTGTTCCACAGACTAAGCACAACCGCATTTGTAGTAGAATAGATAAAAGTTCAAATAATAAACAAAGGCTGCATACACTGATGAGAGAATAACAAAGAAAAATAAAGGAACCACTAGAGCTCTTACCTAATGTTATTTAGAAACTGTTTAAACATTTCAACAATAATTGAATCCAACCCGAGGTCCAACATCAAGAGGCAAGACCTGCAGTATGCCACGCTTCCAAGAATTGAAACAGCCTTAATATGACTGCGACTAGACATATGAGACAAATTCTCAAATGCCTTTACAGCCAATTGGAAATATTCCTATGCATCAATCAAATGGAAAAACAGACTGTGTGAGAGTTTGTAATTCCTATGAAACAAAATGGGTATTTAAAACAGGTTAATTTATTTAAAAAACGAAAAGGAAAAAACAACTTGAAGATGTTCTCAGTACCTTTATTTCTAAGTCATTGTAAGGAGCATCTGGCGCAGTTATTCTAATAATTTCACTAATGCAAGATGCAATTGAAACTTGCACATCCACATCAGCATGCCTCAACAGGTCATTAGCAATCAGTGAGATAGCTGAAGTTCTTACTGTATCTTGCATTGATCCAGCTTGTCTTTGCCTTACCTTGGAGAGAAGATGCTCTACTTTCTAGAAAGAGTGAAACCAGAGAATGGAGCTATGTTAGTTACAAAAGACAAAGAAAATTATTCAAAGAAAGAACAGGAAAGAGGGATAATGAAGTTCAGTGCTTGTGGTTATGTCACACTCTAAGGTACAATTTTATGCCATAAAAATAAAATTCATATCATCCTAATCAGCGTCATCTGACCCTACTGATAATTAGTCTAATAAATAATCACAAATCCATTTAGAACCCCAGAAATTAGTAACATCCAAACAGAAAAAACAAATCACAACCAACAAACATCTAACGTATTGGCATTGATTCAATCACATATCCATCAAAGTACCAAATCTCAATGTTAAGCCAATAAAGGATAAACAAATGCACTGTAACACTAACCAATAAACCCATAAACCCCCTACCAATGAACAGACAAACAAACAATAACACATTTTAAAGAATCAAACTTTGGGTTAAGCAATTGCTGAAGTCACGGACATAAATCATTGATAACAATCGATCACCAATCCACAAGAAGTTTAGCCCTGATCAAAGGACCCAATGAGCCAAATTGGTGGTTTGTGTGTGTGGGTGGGTGATTATGNCCGATGCACCGTTCAAACCAATCTAGGTTCAATTTGGCTTCCTGTTCCACAGACTAAGCACAACCGCATTTGTAGTAGAATAGATAAAAGTTCAAATAATAAACAAAGGCTGCATACACTGATGAGAGAATAACAAAGAAAAATAAAGGAACCACTAGAGCTCTTACCTAATGTTATTTAGAAACTGTTTAAACATTTCAACAATAATTGAATCCAACCCGAGGTCCAACATCAAGAGGCAAGACCTGCAGTATGCCACGCTTCCAAGAATTGAAACAGCCTTAATATGACTGCGACTAGACATATGAGACAAATTCTCAAATGCCTTTACAGCCAATTGGAAATATTCCTATGCATCAATCAAATGGAAAAACAGACTGTGTGAGAGTTTGTAATTCCTATGAAACAAAATGGGTATTTAAAACAGGTTAATTTATTTAAAAAACGAAAAGGAAAAAACAACTTGAAGATGTTCTCAGTACCTTTATTTCTAAGTCATTGTAAGGAGCATCTGGCGCAGTTATTCTAATAATTTCACTAATGCAAGATGCAATTGAAACTTGCACATCCACATCAGCATGCCTCAACAGGTCATTAGCAATCAGTGAGATAGCTGAAGTTCTTACTGTATCTTGCATTGATCCAGCTTGTCTTTGCCTTACCTTGGAGAGAAGATGCTCTACTTTCTAGAAAGAGTGAAACCAGAGAATGGAGCTATGTTAGTTACAAAAGACAAAGAAAATTATTCAAAGAAAGAACAGGAAAGAGGGATAATGAAGTTCAGTGCTTGTGGTTATGTCACACTCTAAGGTACAATTTTATGCCATAAAAATAAAATTCATATCATCCTAATCAGCGTCATCTGACCCTACTGATAATTAGTCTAATAAATAATCACAAATCCATTTAGAACCCCAGAAATTAGTAACATCCAAACAGAAAAAACAAATCACAACCAACAAACATCTAACGTATTGGCATTGATTCAATCACATATCCATCAAAGTACCAAATCTCAATGTTAAGCCAATAAAGGATAAACAAATGCACTGTAACACTAACCAATAAACCCATAAACCCCCTACCAATGAACAGACAAACAAGCAATAACACATTTTAAAGAATCAAACTTTGGGTTAAGCAATTGCTGAAGTCACGGACATAAATCATTGATAACAATCGATCACCAATCCACAAGAAGTTTAGCCCTGATCAAAGGACCCAATGAGCCAAATTGGTGGTTTGTGTGTGTGGGTGGGTGATTATGTACATAACAGATACATATGTGCAAGTAAAGGAAGAGGGTGTTACATCAAGGAGATTGAGCAGCTCGTCAGTGGAAGAGGGGAGCTTAAAAAGGCTGCTTGTAGCTTCTTTAAGCTGCTCCTCAAGCTCTTTCTCTGATAAAGAGGTAGAAGGAGAAGCCATTTCTCCACAGCACTAAAACCCAGAAACCCTCACAAATTTTACACAGACACTCTCGAAAACCCTTAACGACTAAGTGCAAGTGCCAAAACAGCCAGTTGGAGATGCTATATATACAGAGAAAATGAAGAATAATTTGGGGGTTTGCTGAAAATTGGAAGACATGCAGAGCCCATCTGGCATTAGCTCTGCCTTTACGTGGCTTTCCAAACCCATTGGCGTTTCATATTCTTGCTGTGGAGGTGCCGGCACAGAGAATTGAATGTGTGTGTGTGAGTAATCTGCGATGTCCAACAGTCCCGAATTACAGGTTAGTCCATTAACGTTCTGAAAAATCTGAGAAGAGAATTGCTTTTGGGGTTTGTTCAATTCAATGATGGAAGGTTAATAATGTTTGGGTACTGGCGCGCTTATCAGTAATTACAGTAATCCTATTTGAATTTTGTGTTTGTGTGCTTTAATGATTTTATTCTATATTAAAACCATGGACGATCTAGTGTCCAAAACCCCATCTACAGCAGTGATTGGTTGGCCAAATTAACAATTCAATAAAAGGTAATATCGATAAGCAGTCTGATTGTCGATTTTCGGACTTAAGTCGACAATATATTTCAATGAACACTTCTAATCACTTTAAATTTAACTTTTAAAATGAAAAATATTTATAGCACTAAAATAAAAATGTAAAAAATCACTGTTCTTTTCAATGTTTGAAAGGGGAAAGACCAATCATTTTGCTTGGAAATTACTATGCATCTTAAAGTTAAGAGCAAAAATTGGATGCAAGATGCGTGGGATCACTTATTGAGAAGATGGGCTTTTATAAAAACCCGAGGAAATTCTTATAATAATTAATGTAGAAAGGTGAGACACTTTTTCCAAGAAAAAAATTTCAGGATGACTCAAAAAAGAAAAAATTGTTTTGGTCAAGCGGATAAAAAAAGTTAGGACTCGATGTTTTCGTAACAATTTGCAATTTGTGATGTTAAAGAAAATGACATGTATTTTGGTGAATTTAAAAGNCTAAGAAAAAAATTTCAGGATGACTCAAAAAAGAAAAAATTGTTTTGGTCAAGTGGATAAAAAAAGTTAGGACTCAGGTGTTTTCGTACCAATTTGCAATTTGTGATGTTAAAGAAAATGACATGTATTTTGGTGAATTTAAAAGTGTTGTAAATAAGTCCCATTTTTCTAGTCAATGATCTTTTAACCTTGGTGCCTTGTAAGTGTAGCCTATAGTCAATAATAAGATTGTCTTCAATTGAGTTTTGTAGTTGAACCTAAATGAAAATTACCTTGTATGTAGGAATGTGCAGCATGCTCTGACTGTCAGGCAATAGGGCCAACTCCCATAATGATGAAGAGGATAAATGACCAAAGATATCCCCCAAAGGTCCATATAATGTAAACTTTTCACGCAAAATTTCATGCTTTGCATATGATACCCGAGTTCTCTCCATTCATACTGCATCAGATATGCAAGGTGAATCCTAGCAACGCACCTGTTATTAGGGCCATCTTTTCCAAGTACCGCGATATTGCTGCAACTGTCTATACAAGTCACCATCTGTGAGTGCTTCCCTACTTGATGCTGTCCGCAATGTTGTTCAGTGGTTGCTAACAATGGCAATGCAGTCCTTATGCCTGAAGTTAAAGCCATCGAAAGTGAAGTTTCCGATGCCCAAAAAGCCAGGCTTAAGGTACTCTGCCTGCGCGATCACTTGGCAAAGGTCCACGAAGTAGAAGCCGGTGGTCGTTGTTCTTCATTGCTGAAGGAGGCAAAGATAAGTAACAGCCTTGTCATTAAAGCAGCCACAAGGGACTTGGAACAGAGGCAAAAAGATTTGGTTGCAGCACAAGAACAGATTAGACAGGCAGAAAGGTGTGTGGAGGCATTCAAACTTGATAGCCTCAAAATTCTTAGTGACGTCTTGAAGTCTTCGTTTGAAGAGAGTTTTCCGCCAAGAAACTTAGATGAGCATTTATATCCTGAAAAATTCTTATTGTCGGTAAGTGCTCGTTTTATGAGGTATAGTCACATAATTCCCTCAAACTATATAGGCTCGTCCCTCTAAATTTTTTCAAGAAATAAAGGTCGCCCCCACCCAAATCAAATTCCTGAATCCATCCTTAATCATTCGCTAAATGAAGTTAAATATTTTCTTGTGTGATTTGGTCTTGATGATACCTCAAATAAGCCCTAACTGTGAGGTCGGGTCAGGAGTTCAGGAAAGACACGAGGAACTCAGAGAACCAGGGGTGAAGTTTCCCTTGGGGAGATCGTAACTGAACTGACCAGGAAACAACTGAATGACTGCAGAAATTGGTTCTCATGCATGAAACTCTCAATCAACCAAGATTCTCTCCTAAAATCAAGGAGGATCTCATGAATAATGGGCAAAAATCTAGGCCGAAATCCCACAGAATAGGAGGCAGCCTTATAAATACTATGCAACGTCTCATCGTGAGGGAAATGAAAGAGAGAAAAGCCCTAATCAGTTTAGCACTATCTCGTATTACATTAAACTAATTAATAGAGAAGAAAAGGAGCAAGAACCTCCATTGAATAGTAGACTAGCCGAGTTCTTGAGCCGGTAAACCACTATATTTTTATTGTGTACACCCCTTTATTCCCCTCAATATTTCATTGCAGAATCATACACGAGCCATGTAGCTCTGATCCACGCTCATCTCACGTTACATGCACCTTTTGCTCATCCACGTTGATTTACGCCATCAGTTTGGTGCCGTCTGTGAGAACTACTGTTGTTGTTATAAATAAGTTGATCTTTCAGTGACTAATGGTGTCAACACGAAACATGAGCAGAAGCCAAACAAACCCATCCCGGATGCAGGACCAACAGGGAGCCACCAATGGTAGACAACTCGAGAGCATCCTAGAGACTGATCCTCCCATGGGGAATCCCCCCACAAATAACGAGATGGAGGCCCTTCGCCTCGTCAATCAGCACTTAATAAAGCAAAACAATGAGCTCTTGTAGCGCCCACAGGAGGCACGTCTGACCCAAGAATATCAGAATAGTCCCCACTACAGGGACCAACAACACCTTAATCCACTCAGAGAAGACAACGAAGGGGGGGAAAATAGCTAGACCTTGGGGTAGGTTCTCCAACTACCCCCTAGGAACGGCCACAATGAAAAAGTACAGAGTCAAAACCTTGAAGGTGAAAAAAATGATGTCTTCCCTTATCAACAGGAGAAAAGGAAGCAATATTAGGAGCAACGCTTCAAGGGCATCCAGCAGGAGCTCAGCCACATGAAGGAAGCAGTCAGGAGTAAAGCTCCAATTACAATGGACGCCTTGGTGCAGCAGACTAAATCTCCATTCACGCCTAGGGTGTTGCATTTTTCCCTTCCACCAAAGTTTAGGATACCTCAGATAGAGTCCTTTGATGGAACCATGGACCCCATGGACCACCTCAATACTTATAAGAACCAGATGGAATTACATGAGTATCAGGATCCCGTACGTTGTCGAGCCTTTGCCATCACTTTGAAGGGTTTAGCCTTGGCGTGGTTTAACAGGCTCCCTCCAGCCTCAATCTCTTCATTCAAAAAGCTTTCCATTTCCTTCGTATCCCACTTCATAGGGGCTCGAACCTATAGAAAGCCAAACTATCACCTTTTGAATGTGAACACAGGGGCCACAAGAAAACCTCAGGTCATATGTCCAAAGATTTAATTCAGAGTCGTTAAAGGTGGATGTCCTAGACCAAAAGTTCACCATCACTGCCTTCATAGTTGGTCTAAGGGTGCATTCTAAAGATTTGATGTTCTCCATATCAAAAAATCTCCAAGCAAGCATGGCCGAGGTGCTTGCCAACGCGGAGAAATACATAAACGGCGAAGAAGCTCTTCTTTCTAAGGTAGGGAGCTCTTTCGCACATAAAGACAAGGGAAAGGAAGAGAAAAAGAGGAACCGAAGTCCCAAGAGAGAAAGGGAAAAAAATAGATCTCCAAAGAGAGATAGATCCCCCAGAAGAGACAAAGAGCGATCCCCAAAGAGAAGGGGGAACGTTAGGGACCGCTTAGGCCCCCTGCAGCCTGAGCTATAGCCGAGGTATGCACCTCAGCAATATACCCCCTCTTATTGCGACAGTATCCCAGATCCTATACGAGGTGCAGAACGAGAAATTCGTAAGGTGGCCTCCACGAATGAAGGTTGATCCGTCTAAAAGAGACCCTATGAAATATTACGAGTATCATAGGGATCATAGCCATCATACTGATGATTGCATCCAGCTAAAGAAGGAGATCGAGTTTTTGATCCAAAGGGGACAGTTACGACGAATTATCGCCCATGATAACCAGGACAAGGCTCCGCCACCACCGGCACCCCATCAACAAGCCCCTGCGCAACACCAGCAACCCTTGGGGGAGATTAGAGTGATATCTGGAGGATTTGCTGGCGGTGGAGAATCTAGTGCAGCCAAGAAAAGCACCCCTGCGTAGAATCAGAACTAGAGAAGTGCTAGAAGTACACACTATGTCCAAAATGCCTCGGCTGAGCACAATCATCACTTTCTCGAATTTAGACTTGGAAGGTTGTCAGTAACCCCTATGATGACCCATTGGTTTAAGGGTCATTCTGGCAAATCAAACTATTCATCGAGTTCTAATTGACAATGGGAGCTCGCCCGACATCATTTTTGCCTCTGTCTTTGACAAAATGGGCATAAGAAGGGAGAAGTTTGAGCCAGTGAATACTCACTTGAAGGGGTTCTCAGGGGAGAGGGTGCTACCCCTGGGATCCATCCAACTCGTGCTCACTATGGGGGATCCTCCTTGTCAAGCCACCACCACTGTAAAATTCCTGATAGTTGATGCCCCTTCTGCATATAATATACTACTTGGGAGACCATCCCTCAACGCAATGAAGACTATCCCCTCAGCATATCACCTGGTCGTAAAATTTTCTACAGAAAATGGAGTTGGAATGGTACGAGGAGACCAGCGAATAGCCAAGGAGTGCTACATGGCCTCGGTGAAACAGAAAGAGGTTGAAACTATCCAACTAGGTGAACTTGACATGAGGGATGAGCTGGACACCAGGTCCAGACCGTTAGAAGAGCTAGAGTCAGTCCAGCTCAATAAGGAGCCTGAACATATTGTTTACATGGGATCTAAGTTGAGAAAAGAAATGAAAGACCTACTCACCCAGTTCCTGAGGAAAAACATGGGGGTGTTCGCTTGGAAACAAGAGGACATGGAAGACATTGACCCCTCAATCATCACACAAAAGCTAAGCGTGAATCCTATTTGCAAACCTGTTAAACAAAAGCGGAGAAGTTTTGCTCCGGAACGCCAGAAGGCAATTAACAAGAAGGTCAGTAAACTCCTCCACGCCAAAGCCATAAGAGAGGTGGACTACCCTACCTGGTTGTCGAATGTGGTGCTTGTCAAGAAGACCAATAAAAATGGCAGCTCTGCATTGATTTCACTAATCTCAATTGAGCATGCCCCAAGTATAGCTTTCCCTTACCTCGAATCAACTTGATCGTGGATGCAACTGCTGGGCATGAGCTCCTCAACTTTATGGATGCTTTCTCAGGTTATAATTAGATCAGGATGGACCCAGAGGACCAGGAGAAGACTTCATTTGTGACTGAACAGGGAACTTACTGCTATCAGATCATGCCTTTTGGATTGAAGAATGTTGGAGCCACCTATCAAAGCCTAGTGAATAGAATGTTTCAGAAATAAATTGGGACATCCATGGAGGTCTATATTGACGACATGTTGGTAAAATCACTGAAGGCAGAGCTGCACATCGAGCACCTAGCAAAATTGTTCCAAATCCTCAAGGAATACAAGATGAGACTCAACCCTGCAAAGTGCGCCTTTGGAGTATCAACAGGAAAGTTTCTGGGATTCATAGTCAACAACAGAGAAATCGAGGCTAACCTAGGAAAGGTTAAGGCAGTTCTGGATATGCGACCACTGTCCAACATCAGGGAGATCCAACGCCTGACAGGAAGGATAGCCGCCTTGAGTTGTTTTGTATCCAAAGCAAGTGACAAGTGCTAACCTTTCTTTCAGGTGTTGAAGAAGGCTTTTCAGTGGGATACCCGATGTAAGGAAGCATTCAAAGCACTGAAGGAGTACCTAAGCTTTCCCCCTGTCCTGATAAGCCCTTTAGAAGGGGAAATGTTTACTCTTTGTTTAATTGTCTCGAATTTCTCAACCAGCGCAACACTAATTAGGGAGCGAGACAGAGCTCAGCAACCAGTATACTACTATAGTAGAACTCTGAGGGGGGCAGAGGAGAGATACCCAAAGATTGAGAAGCTAGTTTTGGCCCTGGTGACTATAGCTAGGAGACTTAGGCCATATTTCCAGGCTCATACTATCGAGGTTATAATAGATCAGCCAATGAAACAAGTGCTGCATAAACCAGAGTCTTCAGGAAGGTTAGTTAAGTGGGTGATAGAGCTTAGTGAGTTTGATGTTAGGTATAAGCCAAGGACTGCGATCAAAGGGTAAATTTTGGCAGATTTCATTGTAGAATTCACTGTAGTAACACCCACGGAAGCCATATTACTGATACCTAACCTTCCCGTATGAAAACTTTTGGTAGACGGAGCTGCCAATGCCCAAGGAAGCGGCGCAGGATTAATCCTGACCTCTCCAGATGGAATAGACATGGAATACACCCTAAGGTTTGAGTTTAAGGCTTCGAACAACAAGGCAGAGTATGAAGCTGTCATTGTTGGGTTCAACCTTGCTCATTCAATGGAAACAAAGTGCCTGGAGATTAGTAGCGATTCCCAGCTTGTCGTGAAACAAATAGATGAGTTATACGAGGCCAAGGGTGAGAAAATGGTTTTCTACCTTAGGAAGGTACAGGAATTAATCAAGAAGTTTGTGCAAGTTAAATTCAAGCACGTTCCTAGAGTCGAAAATTCAAGAGCAGATGCCTTGGCAAGGTTGGCAACAGCTTCGCCTAAGAATTTGGATAGGTTAATTCCAGTGAAGCATTTAGCAAAACCATCTGTATGCTTGGAAGATGAAGAAGTTTTGCCTGTGCAAACACCACAGAGCTGGATGGATCCC